CTGCACTCCCCTGTCAGAAATTACTTCATCAGGCACTCCATGCAAGCGAAATATTTCCCGAATAACAAGGTCAGCAGTCTGTTTAGCTGAAGGGAGACCACGAGCTGGTATGAAATGACTCATCTTGGTTAACCGGTCCACAACAACAAGAATAGTAGTGTGTTCCTTAGAGGGAGGTAGTTCCACAATAAAGTCCATGGATATAGATCCCCAGGGACGATGAGGAATCGGAAGAGGCTGAAGCAAGCCAACAGGGGATGAGCGAGGAGTCTTATGTCTGGCACATACATCACAAGAGGACACATACTTCTTAACATCCTCATAATATTTAGGCCACCAAAAGGATCGGGTAAGTAGTTCTTGTGTCTTTCGGATTCCTGGATGACCTGCTGGTTTAGAGTCATGGTAGAGGCGTAAAACGTCCAGTCGCACTGATTCTGGAACAAACAGACGTTGTTGAAAAATCCAAAACCCATTAAGCATGGTCATATGAAGATCACGAGGAGGATCACGAAAAACTGGATCTTTAGAGTAGCCCTTTTTAATGCGAGACATTAGATCAGAAGGAAAGGTAACTCCTAAAAATCTGCTCTCCGGCAAGATGGTGGCCTTGGTTACTGTAGTATGGAGGGGGTCAGCTATCCTAGACAAGGCATCCGCCTTGCCATTTCTGGAACCAGGGCGGTATGAAATAAAAAAATTAAACCTTGAGAAAAATAGGGACCAGCGTGCTTGTCTGGCTGACAGTCTCTTAGCGGATTGGATACATTCCAGATTTTTGTGATCTGTGAGGACAGTAATTGGATGGGTGGCTCCCTCCAAGAGATGTCTCCATTCGGTGAAGGCAGCTTTTATAGCCAAAAGTTCTTTATTCCCTATGTCATAATTTCTTTCTGCTGGTAACATCTGGCGGGAATAGAAGGCACATGGATGTAACAACATCTTAGGTCCAGTCCTTTGAGATAGTATAGCCCCAACAGCTGAATCAGAAGCATCTACCTCTACAGTAAATGGCAATTCTGGCTGAGGATGTACCAAGATAGGAGCAGATGTAAACAGAGTCTTTAATCTGGAAAATGCAGTGTCAGCCTTATTGGACCACTGAAAAGGAGTCCCTTTACGTGTAAGTTCAGTGATCGGTGTAATAACGGCAGAGAAATTCTTAATGAAACGCCTGTAAAAATTGGCAAACCCCACAAATCTCTGTATATCTTTTTCATTCTTGGGGATGGGCCAGTCCAGCACAGCTTTAATTTTACTTGCGTCCATACTTAAACCTTTAGGAGTTATTACATACCCCAGGAACTGAATTTCTGTTTGTTCAAACTCACATTTTTCCAGTTTAATGTATAGGTGGTGGGTACGAAGGCGCTCAAGAACAATGCAGACCTGTTTTCTGTGATTTTCAAGATTATCAGAAAATATCAGGATATCATCCAAATATGCCACAACAAACTGATCCAGGAGATCCCGTAGTACATCATTGATTAGATGCTGAAAAGTTGCAGGGGCATTACAAAGCCCAAATGGCATTACTAGATATTCGTAATGTCCGTACCTGGTTCTGAAAGCTGTTTTCCATTCATCATTTGGTCTTATGCGAACCAGATTATATGCCCCCCGTAGATCAAGCTTCGTAAATATTTTAGCTGAACGAAGTCTCTCCAGAAGTTCAGGAATGAGAGGCAAGGGATAACGGTTTTTAACAGTGATTTTATTAATGTCCCTGTAATCGACACATGGCCGTAGACTGCCATCTTTCTTTTCTACAAAGAATATAGGAGCTCCTGCTGGAGAAGTGGATGGTCGAATAAAGCCTTTGGCAAGATTTTCTTGTATGTATTCACGAAGTGCTTTCAATTCAGGCTCAGAAAGGGAGTATATACGGCCAAATGGGATAGCAGCTCCAGGTAGCAGCTCTATGGGGCAATCATAAGGCCTATGAGGTGGAAGCTGATCAGCATTCTTCTTATCACAGACATCTGCAAAATCCCGATATTGTAGCGGAAGCTTGGTTAAGTTTGTAGCAACCATTTCATTAATTGTTGTGGTAACAGGTGTCGCCTTAGAGGGTTGACAATTCATTAAGCAGTGTTCTGAAGGAAAGGACAAAGTTCTAGTCTTCCAATCAATCTGTGGGTTATGCAGAGCAAGCCAAGGTATACCCAAAATCACTGGAAACTGTGTTGAGGAAATTAGGTGGAAAGATATAGACTCATGGTGATTCACTTCCAGAATCAATTTTAAGGGCACAGTCTCATGTGTAACCGGGCCTGACGTAAGTGGAGAACCGTCTACTGTTTCCATTAACACAGGTGAAGATTTAGGGATAGACTGAATTTTATTTTCTGCTGCAAATTTAATGTCCATAAAGTTTCCGCCTGCTCCGGAATCTATCATAGCTGTAGTTGAAATTTTATTATTACCATATTGCAAAGTGATAGGCACCACCAAATGAGGATGTTGAGTCATCATACCTTCTTCACCCTGAGCCAGAGAAAACAAGGGTTGTATGACAGAATCCAGTTGGTCTGAAATCTGGGATTGGTGTTGAATCTGTGCACCCTCAGCAGTCATAGCTATTGTTCTTTTAGACTTGTTAGGGCAATTGATGGCATAATGCCCTGTACTACCACAATACAGGCATAAGTTGTGAGTGCGTCGCCACTGTTTTTCTTCATTGGATAATGGCCCTCTTATTAGATCTACCTGCATAGCCTCAGGTTCAGAGTCTGTAGGTGTTTGTGGGGTCGGAGTAGAAATTCTTGAATAGAAAGTAGGAGTAGCACTTGGTTTAAAAGAGCCCTGTCTTTCCAATCTTCTTTCTGAAAGTCTCCGATCAATACGGATAGCCAACCGCACAAATGCATCAAACTCAACAGGAAGATCAACACGAGCTAGCTCATCTTTTATAGCTTCTGAGAGACCCCTTCTGAAGTGGAACCTCTGGGCTGATTGGTTCCAAGTAGTATCAGTAACCCACTGTCTGAATTCAGCAGCATATTCAGCCACAGAGCGCCTCCCTTGATGTAAATGAAGGAGAGTGGCTTCTGCTGTAGCACAGCGATTGGGATCATCAAAAACTAGGCACATGGCCTCAAGAAAGTCTTTTAAATTTCCCAAGATTGGACTGTCCTGTTCCAGAAAAGGGGAGCCCCAGGCCAGGGCTTCATCTTTGAAGAGGGAAAAAATAAATCCCACCTTCTCTCTTTCAGATGGAAAGCGGTTAGGTAACATCATGAAATGCAAACGGCATTGATTTAGGAAACCCCTGAATTTTTTGCGGTCTCCTCCAAATTTTTCTGGTAGAGGCAAGCGGGCATCTTGTGCAGGTGTAACAGTAGTAGTAGCAGCAGCCGCAACATCATGTGCCCTGTAGCTGGTAAGCTCACTATGCATTGATCGAACTTCATTTTGCAGTTCAGCTACCTGATCCTGCAGCACTTGAATGGTCTGTGCCTGGGTCTGCATAGTTCTTGCATTAAAAGCAACCTGCTGGGCCAATGCAGAATCTGATCCGACGGTCTCCATGAAAGGCCAGATTATTCTGTAATGATATTGATGTTACAAAGTTTTGGAGTCCAGTAGCCAGATCAGCAATGTTTTCTGCCAGAGGTAGCCACTCGTTACCCAGGTGGTTGAGCCCCTGAGCCTTGAGTGGCCTTCTGGTCTTAAGCAGAGATGGGAGACTGGAACAGAAAGATGATAATCGTAGTGAGGCAAGCCGAGGTCAGTGGGAAGGAGAAGCAGCAAAGTCAAAACAGTCCAAATTCAGCAACAGGAAGGAGAAACAGGAACACGCTGGATTAGAGAGTACAGGAACCACAATAATCTGGCAAAGGTACAGAGACAGGAAGTGGCTTTTATAGGCCAAGGACCAGACACCTGACCAGACACAGCTGAAGTGAGTTGTCACTGATAACCTTGACTCTACAAACAATAGTATCAGATCTCAGGTAAATTTGCAAAAGGCAGGCTGGTGTACTGGTAAGGAAAAGGTTTAGCACCATGTAAACCAGGGTTCGAAACCCAGCAGAGTCAGTTCCTCACACTCAGCTTCTGCCTGCTAGTAAGAAGATAAGGAGACACTTGTGTCAACAGCATCCTGAGCTTGGCATAAATGTGTCTTCCAATTCTTTGGGCACGTCTCCTTTTTGGGCATGTTCGTCCCTTTTGGGAGTTCAGGTTACATGATCTGCGTCAGTGGCCCACTCTTTTACACCATCCATTGACTTCCTGCTTCACTGGACACTGCTGTTAGGGGGTATGGATTTACTTGAAAGATGAAAGCATGAATTAGAGAGAGATTAGCATATTTTAAGAGAATCTGAGTTTTCTTACAGCTGCATCCTATGAGTTTCCCTACGGCAACATATCCACCCGATACAGTGGCGTACATACCGCGGTCGCAGGAGGCAAACCACTGGGGCCGCATGTTAAGGGGTCCATTGGGTCCATGCTGTCAGGGCCACCCGATGGATATGGATTATCAGGGGGCCCAGTCAGCGCTGGGCGCTTTAACAGCATGACCGGGCCCCATGTGACTACATCACAAGCTGGGAGGAAGTGACTCCCCGTCACTCCTCCCAGCTATCAGAGCCCGCGCGGGAGGAAGGAGGAAGGAGTCAGAGTGGGAATTCTGACTCCCTTTAGGCTGAGCCCCCACTGGACCCCAGGGAAAGTCACAAAAGGTAGGAAACAGGAAACATTTTGTATATGTATGTGTGTGTGTGTGTGTGTGTGTCTCTGTATGTATGTGTGTGTCTCTGTTTTGTGTGTGTCTGTTTCTGTATGTGTGTCTGTGTCTCTGTATAAATGTGTGTGTCTCTGTATGTGTGTGTGTCTCTGTCTCTGTATGTATGTATGTTTGTCTGTGTGTATGTATGTGTCTGCATGTGTGTGTCTCTGTATGTATGTGTCTGCATGTGTGTATGTGTGTGTATGTATGTGTATGCATAGGCGTGCGCAGCCTATTATATAAGGGTGTGCACCCTAAAGCAGAAACACACACGCCGTGTGTATGTGTATATATATATATATATATATATATATATATATATACACATATATATATATATATATATATATATATATCCACACACATACACACACACACTGCTGTGTGTGTGAGGGTGCTGTGTGTAGGTGCTGTGTGTGAATGCACTGTGTGTGTGCAAGCGCTGTGTGTGAAGGCGCTGTGTGTGTGTGCGGGCACTGTGTGTGTGAAGGCGCTGTGTGTGTGAAGGTGCTGTGTGTGTGTGAAGGTGATGTGTGTGTAAGGGTGCTGTTAGTGTGTGTGAGGGTGCTGTGTGTGTAAGGGTGCTGTTAGTGTGTGCTTTGTGTGTGTGGGTGAGGGTGATGTGTGTAAGGGTGCTGTTAGTGTGTGCTGTGTGTGTGTAAGGGTGCTGTGTGTGTAAGGGTGCTGTTAGTGTGTGCTGTGTGTGTGAGGGTGCTCTGTGTAAGGGTACTGTTAGTGTGTGCTGTGTGTGTGTATGTGTGAGGGTGCTGTATGTGTAAGTGTGTTGTTAGTGTGAGGGTGCTGTTAGTGTGTGTGCTGTGTGTGTAAGGGTGATGTATGTGTGTGTGCTGTATGTTTGTGTGTAATGTGCAGGGCTAGAGTTCACTCTTACGAGATCTGAGCGTTGACACGGTAACCGCGGCAACGCTCTGACCACGCGAGAGGAACCCGGAGGAGCTGCTGACAAGAGCTCCCCGGGTCCTCTCCTGCCTCCCTCCCTGCCTGTGGGTTGGTGAGGGAGCCCATGGAGGGAGGCACATAGCGCGTGCCGCGGGGGATTAAGGTGCGCCCAGGCACACCTGATACACCCCGTGCGCAAGCCTGTGTGTGTATGTGTGTCTGTATGTATGTGTCGGGGGGTCCATGGATCGGGAGAGAGGGGAGGGAAGGGGGTGTGGCGAGTGGGGGGACTCACAGATCAGTTTTGCACCGGGGCCCCATGGATTGTGTGTACACCACTGACCAGATACATAACGCTTGAGATGTATGACAGTTTTAGTATTTTTGGGTGATAAGAATCTGTACTTAGCCCCCTCATAATTGTCAACACCATGCCCACTGGGCTCTTAATCTGGCCCTGACAAAGCTTATATCAAGTAGTGTAAATATTACATTGATTGCACTGAATTCCCTCTTTATTTCCTCTCTTCTCCCCACACCCTCTTCTTACCTGTCTGTCATCAAACCAGGGTATATGGCCATTACTTTTACAATGGTTTAACACTGTGAATTTTTCATATTTACACATGATTGATTCTTAATCTTGAACATCTTTACTATGTGCTTACCACAATGTGCACCAGTACCTAACTATTTTTGCAACTCAAAATAAATCTGAAATATGTAAAAAAAAATATATATTACCCTATTTATAGAAATTCAATAATAATACCGTGTTTTAAGCAATTAAGCTTCATAAAAATGTCAAAGCAATGTTAAAAGAATGCATATATGCACGTATAATGCCCATATACATTTATACATGTACACAAAACTATCGTACTTTACATACTATTATACAGATACCACATCCTATCATTATTTGGTGCTAGCTTTTTTGTAAGTATTTGCTGCCAGTTGTAAATGATACTAAAAATTACATTGTATAGTCTTCCACTGACCTAAATACTGGTTGAACTGGTTCAAAAAGTTCTCAAAGAACACAAGCAAAGTACTGACTTTTCCCTAGTCTTCTACATAATGGAGATTCTAACATTCAAAATTGGTAAAGAGCTGGATTAGCTACCGTATATATTTTAGTATAAGTCGACCCGAATATAAGTCGAGACCCCTAATTTTACCCCAAAAAACTGGGAAAACTTATTGACTCGAGTATAAGACTAGGGTGGGAAATGCAGCAGCTACTGATAAATTTCTAAATAAAATTAGATCTCCCCCAAATTATATTAATTGAATATTTATTTACAGTGTGTGTACATAATGAATGCAGTGTGTGTGTGTATATAATGCAGTGTGTTTGTATGAATGCAGTGTGTGTGTGTGTATGAATGCAGTGTGTGTGTGTGTATAAGTGCAGTGTGTGTGTGTATGAATGCAGTGTGTGTATGTGTATGAGTGCAGTGTGTGTGTGTGTGTGTGTGTGAGTGCAGTGTGTGTGTGTGTATGAATACAGTGTGTGTGTGTGTATGAGTGTAGTGTGTGTGTGTGTGTATGAGTGCAGTTTGTGTATGAATGCAGTGTGTGTGTGTGTGTGTGTGTGTATGAATGCAGTGTGTGTGTGTGTGTATAAGTGCAGTGTGTGTGTGTATGAATGCAGTGTGTGTATGTGTATGAGTGCAGTGTGTGTGTGTGTGTATGAGTGCAGTGTGTGTGTGTGTGTATGAATACAGTGTGTGTGTGTGTGTATTAGTGTAGTGTGTGTGTGTGTGTATGAGTGCAGTTTGTGTATGAATGCAGTGTGTGTGTGTGTGTGTATGAGTGCAGTGTGTGTGTGTGTGAATGCAGTGTGTGTGTGTATGAGTGCAGTGTGTATAAATGCAGTGTGTGTATGAATGCAGTGTGTGTGTGTGTGTGTGTATGAGTGCAGTGTGTGTATGTGTATGAATGCAGTATGTGTGTGTGATGTAGATTAATTTAGAAATAAACAAAAATGTTTAAAAGTCTATCTGTTCCTGTCCAAATCTGAGATGAATAAATTGCGTATACGCAGAAGTAAGTTTACACTGACACATGCAGTTCAGGTTAAAAACACTTCAGGAAATTTATTAGCATCTAGTTAAAAAGCGGGCACGCAGGCCTTTTTATATGCAAAATGACATCATCATTGAATATCAGATAATAACAAATAAACATCATTAATTGGGTTAAATGTTAAGTGGCTATGTCAGTGTCCACCCATTAATATTATTAATTGGCTCAGAGATTTGAGTGACTAGTGAGGCACCCTCCCATCATGGGATGTCGTCGCCATTGCTCTTTAGCACGAGGCTTACTCGGTGGAAAGGGGGGCTTGGGCGTCATTTTACGTAGTTAGTGATGTCAGTCTCGTGGTCTGTTCCAAGGTTCTTTTATGAATAGAACATTTCATTAGTCACTGTTCTCCTGGCCTTGGATTATACTATGTTGCAAGTCAACGGAGATCCGCTAACTCCGGGGCTAGTTATGTCCTTAGAGAGAGAAAATACAATCTCTTATTCATTATATTGAATACTGTCAGGAAATTCTGTCATGTAAGGTGAACAAAATGGAGAATTCTGTCATAGTGTGATATTAAAATGGAGTTAGTACAATAATTCAATACAGGTTCTAATAAAGATTTTAATAATTCTACATCAGTCCCCCCTATGAAATGTTAGATTCTAAAAGATAATCTTTATTTGTTAGTATCAGAAGACGTGTTAGCCCAAAGGCACAGAAACCCCGTGACCTGCTAGCTAGGTGTTATTGCAAAGTGCAAAGCTGTCCCTTCGTCTGTCCCTAATTGGCTAACTCATCTGTCCGCTGGGCACTCGAACACTTCACTCCATGGGTATCCCGAGGTGGCTAACCCACCACATCTCCGCACGGTAGACTTCCCAGACAGACAGATGCTGTCCCTAAGCTGGTCCCTTCCTAGAACTCTTGCACTCTATCAATAAACGGGATAGATTGTAGCGGTATACAGGGCGAGTTGACTTTTTGGAAATCTTGGTCATCAACTGTGAGGTGTGCGTAAGTGGGTGCCGCTTGGTCTACAGTCTTCAAGAGGAGCTTTCTCAGACAAGGGAGGACACAACAAACGAGAAGAGCAAAGATAAAAAGGAAAATTAGTATTGCTATACCAATATGCATCAAAGCTTTTTTTCCATCCTGTCATCCAACCAAACCATCTCTCCCAGGGATCTTTTATCCCAGAGTTCCTCTTTAGCTCCTCAGAGAGCTCTTTCAATTTTTCTATAGCTAAGGTTACTTTACCATTGGGGCCTGTGTTTTCTGGGATGTAAGTACAACATGTCATGGTGTCAGGCAGAATTTTACATACCCCTCCTTTTTCGGCTAGAATCATATCTAAAGCCATTCTATTCTGGAATGACATTTGGGACGTAGCCTGCAGCTGTTCGGCCAAACCCTGAAGGGCATCCCTGGTGTAATTAACAAACCGTTGTTGGTTGTAGTAGATGTAATTTATCCAATTTAAATTCTTGTTTGCAGTGACTATGGTAAAAAGTGATTCAAATCCTGCAGCAACTTCATCCCTGGCTTTAAACTCATTGGGCACCCCCCTAGGTACCCCAATGGCATCAATGTAAATATGAGGGTCAAAACTGCCTTTACTGGGGCTTCACGCTTTACCTTGGTTGGTGAGTGTTTGGACTCATGAGTATCGGGGTGTGTGTCAGAGATAATATGTATGGGCATGATTGCTTTAGCCAGAGTACACTCCCCCCACCATTCTTTATCCATTCTTGATCTCAGCTGTAGATCCCCACACAACCAGTAAATATCCCCCAATGATCTAGTGTGGAATTGTAGGAGGTTCATAGAGACAGTTCTGTAGGTGGCACAATAACCTTTAGAGAAGTTACCCACAAATTTACCAATTCCATCATAATTAGCATAACAGGTATAATTACCTTTATAGACGGTAACACCATCTGGGGGTTTGCAATCTTTGACTAGAAGAGGATACTCTACTGTCCATGCTTTACATATGGACCTATTGAAATTGTAGTGATAGGCAAAAAGACTCAGAACACATTCTTCTATATCTACTGGCAAAGTTAAAGGCACAGTGCCCAGGTGCGGCCGGGCACCACCACACACATAGCATGCGGTTCTGTTATGTTTGTTGGCATTATATTTCATCCATTCTAACCATAGATTAACATCATTGAAACCTGTTTCAGCGGCCATGGTATCTTCAAATGTTGGATTTGCAATGGCCATCATGTCTTTAAAAGATTGGATGTGTGGTTTCAACGGATTTGAGACCATGTGGGTGGTCCCTTTCCACTCAGGAGAGTGGCACATATCTTTAAGGTGGAAATGTCCTAATTTATTATAGGAACCCTTCTTCCAGTACATTCCCATTACATACTGGTCTGCATCCGTTGGGCTGGGATGCTCAATGTTTAAGATTAATTTCATAGGTATGCCTCCTCCGGGCTTTCTTA